TTTGGCTCAACAACCAAACAGGACAAGTACAGACTTCAGTGGACAGTCAGGACTGCAGAAAAGGTCATTGGTGCAAGCCTGCCCTCCATGGAGGACCTGTACACCTCATGGGTCAAAAGGAGGGCGGAGAGGATCACTGCACCCGGAACACAATCTGTTCAAACTCCTCCCCTCTGGACGGCGTTACAGGTCACTGTATGCCAAGACAACTAGACACAAGGACAGCTTCTTCCCCCAGGCCATCACTCTGATAAAAACGTGACCCACGACAGTATGACAGTATGACTGGACAATAATCTTCAGTGCAATACCTGTGTGTATACTGTATATACATTGTACAGATTATACAGATCCCTACAGGTCTATTTTTAAGTATTCTATTATTATTTCTATTTATCTCGTTTCATATTCCTTTGTCTGTCTGCATTGTTTACTGTCTGTTTATACCATTTATTTTGCATTGTTTGCACTGTTTGTTGCTTGTTAATACTGTTTATTTTGTTATACTACACAGCCTTATGCTGGCTTACTGTTTACTTGCCCCTTGCGTGGGGATATGTACATACACATTGAGAGCCGATGTACCAGAGTCAAATTCCTCGTGTGTCTGACACACCTGGTCAATAAAGCAGATTCTGATTCTGACAAATACAACAGGCCAATGGCAGAGTACACACCTAACATCAGTACTTGTGTAGGAGAATGTACAAAACCTGGCTAGCAAGCAAGAAAGTTGAAACGGCTGAAACAAAAGCAATGGATGACTGGCTGAAATAGCTGGATGTGGTGAATAAACAGTTAAAATAGTTAGCAAATAATTATGGATAAATGGCTGAAACAGCGACATGTGATGGACGAACGATATTTAGCTTCTGCCATACCTAGATGCTGACAATTCAATTTTTATTTTAACAATATGCACTTTTATGTAAAACTAGCATCTGCTTTGAAATGAAATGAAATTTGGAACATGACAGGTGGTGTCTATGAAGGTGTCCTTGAGATTAACTTATAGGGCTGTGGGGTAGGTCAGACAGTTCCCAAGCAGTCTGGGAACCACTGTTTGAAATCACAGTGTATGTACTGTACAATCAGCCTAATGTATTCACTCCTGTCAGGAACTTAAAAAATGTTCAAGACAGAGCCACTGACGGGCCAAGTCGCAAAGCAGTTACTGAGGCAGTGCATTTTCAGACATGAGCCACATGTCAGTGCAGACACTCACTCTGTAAGCTCCTGTGTTTTCAAGTGTCAACAGTGTCAACATGAAGGAGAGCCTCTGTCTCTTCTGTTGTCAGCAGTTCATCTCTCAGCCTGCTCACCACTGGCACAATTTTGATTTTGCTCCTCCCATATGGGCCAAGCACTTTGTTTGCTGCACTTTTGTCTACTTCCTCTGAGCCTTTTACTGCAATATTGCATCCCTCTGGCTGGTTGAACGCCCGGCTTCTTGACTGGCTGGCTGACTCTCTCAGTGTGAGAGTGTGTGCTTCTGCCTCCCAACAGGAAGCGAGACATTGTGTTTCAACAGCTCCGGAAGAGAGAGGTGTGTGTTTGTGCATGGCTCCTTATTCATGTTAAGGTGTGCACAAAAGAGTGTGGGTTTGTTAAGCCTGGATGACTACACATTATTCTGGAAATGGAAAAAAAAGACTTCTAACTTATTATCTATGCCTTTCTAGTTTCTCTTAACTTTTGGCAAAAGGAGGCAAAAAACAGACAGCAAAGGAGAGGGTAAGAGAAAGCAAGTGAAAAGGAGAAAAACAGACTTGGTGTGGGTAGGAAGGCAGGAAAGCAGCCAGTCTGTGATGCAGGAAACTGTAGACATTCATCACAGGCACAAAGCTAGTCATTTCATGTGTACACTGCATCAGGATATTCCCTCAATAAGATGTGAGAAGTGTGATGTTCTGATTACATAAATATGTGGATCAATGAGTGTGTGTGCATTTTTGTATGACTGTGAATGTGTAAACGTTTGAGTGTTCACATGCCTATGCCTATTACAGTATTTGTGATACATTTAATATGTATAGCATTTTTGTCTTAATCTTCACGAAGAGGAAGCATTCTTGTCATTAGTGTGTATTCGTTTCACTACTCAAGTAAAAGCAACTGATTTCCTTACATGTATTACTCTTTCATTTTGTTATACCCCAGTTCTTTTACTGAACAGATCTGAATAACGGAGTCCGTCTTTCTTCATTTAGTGCTGATTTATTTTAAATCACAAATTAAAATTACAAACACGATCCAGGTTGTTCCTTCCTCCAGAGAAACACACACTCTGCTGCTGGAGAGAGGAGCCTTGGAAGAAGGAGCCTGATACATTTATCAGTTTTTGGGCTAACCCAGGGGTGTCAAACTCAAATACACAGTGGGCCAAAATTTAAAAAATGCTCCAAGTCGAGGGCCGGACTGGTTAAGTATTTATTGAAAACAAACTGAAATGACCTTTTTGAATATATTGAACCTGAACAGAAGTTATTTCCTATAAAACAACATCAATCATTAAATAAATGAAAAATCAGTTGCGTTCGTTTCTTATAGCTCTTTATGCAGTGTTTCCAGAGTAATTTAAAGTGAAAACATTTTTTTCTACAGGCCAACAACAGCCAGAAATGAATTTACTTCAAAGAAAAATCAGATGCCCAGGGGCCTATTTCAAGAAGGCGGTTTTGTCGAAACTCAGAGTTTGTTAACCCCAAAATGAGGGAAACTCTGAGTTTTCGGTTTCAGAAACGGAGGTAACTTAAACCCGTGAAAGCGGGGTAAGTTAAACCCGTTTCACCGAACAATAAAAAAATAAATAAATAACCACACCTTAAACTTTAACTTTAACAAATGGACAAAAGAATAACTGCACTTTAAACAATACAACTGAACAATAACTGCACTTTTCTACTTGACCACTATACAATCAATCTTGGACATTTGTGTCAATTATGCAGCTTTTACACGTTTTAATTCAATTAAGTACGATCTTCTGAGCCAGACACTTGGGTGTCTCATCTTGGATACAAGTTCATCTATGTCTGGGGTCAGGCTGAGGAAATCCTCAAGATTGAGTGAAGGTGTTCATCAGCGAGACGACTTCTGTGTGACGTTTTATTTATCTTCATCAAAGAGAACAGTTGTTCATACAGGTATGTATGTACTTCCAAACAAAGAGAGCATTTGAGCAGCGTGGATATGCAGCTGGGGCATTGTGTCGGGGATGAAACGTGGAAAATGTGCAGCGCCCACATTATCATATTTTGCCTTGAGTGCGTCGCTACATTGGTGCTCAATCAGCTCCATTTGGAGGTTTGATGGTGCGTTTTCCACGTCAGCTGCAAATGGATTACTGAAGAACTTTTTGTCCTGGAACTCTGTTGTGTCTTTCCCTTTGCTTTCCATGAACTCACAGATCTCCTCGCGCAACTCGAAACATCTTTTCAACACTTTTCCTTGGCTTAGCCACCGCACCTCTGTGTGATAGGGCAAGTCACCATATTCTGAACTTAACTCCTCCAGAAAAGACTGGAACTGGCGGTGATTTAAACCTCTAGCTCTTATGAAGTTAACTGCTTGTGTTATGGTGCTCATAACATGTTCCATTTTCAAGGATTTGCCGCACAGTGATTCCTGATGAATGATGCAGTGGTAAGTTGTCAGCTCACCTGCACTGCTTTCCTCCCGCATCTTCTCCCGGATCCTGCCAACCAATCCACTCTTTTGACCGCACATCAAGGGTGCTCCATCTGTGGTCAAGCCCACAAGTTTATCCCAAGGCAGCCCTATTTCATTCACACATTTGGATACCTCCTGAAAGATATCCTTTCCCGTAGTTGTGCCATGCATTGAGTGTAATCCCAAAAGTTCCTCTGTTACGCACAGACTTGAATCCACTCCACGGATAAAGACTGATAGCTGGGCAGTGTCATAAGTGTCGTTGCTCTCATCCACAGGGAGTATGCAATGAAATCCTTTCCCTTTCCCATCAGTTGTTGTTGTAGATTGGTGGCGAGCTGATTTACATGATCAGCAACAGTGTTTCTGCTCATGCAGTTTTTGACAAATTCTCCCTCTGTAAATGGTCGGGCTGATTTTGCGATCTCTGCTGCCACAATAAAACTGTGGTGTGTAACTAAAACATTCATTCAGACATAATATTCTAACACAAGATTTAATACAAGAAAACAATTGGTGCCATGGTAACTGGTGGTCACATTTCAGAATCAACACTGTCTTCTAACCTTGAAGCAAAGCAGACTAAAGCAGACTTCAAATATTACTAAACTCCATTTAAACACATTTTATTCAACACATTGTCTAATAATGACTAATATCTAACACATTTCTAATTTTTTTTCGCTCACAGAAAGCACCTAACTGAAACGTAAGGTAAATGTATTTTGAGTGAACACTGCACCTTCACATTTCTCCAGGATCTGCACCGTGTCTCCAATTTCCAGTGGGAGGCCATGCTGAATGGTCCCTCGGAAACTGGCCAGCACTGAAACAGAAAGAGACACAAAACATGCACAACTTATTATTATTATTTCATTAATGTTTGGACTTAGTTATGCAAAATTAGATAAGGATCAAGACAAGTAGAGCATTACAAAACAAAATGCTTTTCAGGAAATTTGGGGGGGTAACACTCAGAGAGGAGGTGTAAACAATAATATGTGTAGGTGAAATAAAAAAGCTGATAAAACCAACTCAGTACTTCTGCACAAACTCAAAAAGTAACATACAACAAAGTTATTTATAAAAAAAATACTATACGAAATAAAATTTTTATTCAAAAACTCACTTGAAGACATAATGTTTGAACAGTTTAAGTCAGATAACTACAGATAATAAATGTCTGTGCAGATTCATCCAGGTCATAGTAAACTGAAAAATCAACTGAACTAGGTTTTTAGGTTAAAGATATTTCACCTCTCATCCGAGAGGCTTCATCAGTTCTGCCCGATTGGCGTTGAATCGAAGATACTGTATTTATCCCCATTGGTGGTGTTTCAGTCCTTTGATGCCCAACAATGTCCCTTAACGACTGAGTGGTTATAGCCCAGTATCGGTGAGAGTCGTTACCTGTCTATGAACCCTCACCTGTGGACCGACGCCTATTGTCCCAGTGGGCCAAACATTGTCCTCTGTCCAAACATGCCCACCAGGACAATAATCCAGTTGATTTTTCTAAATGTTTTCATCTTACAGATGATAAAACTAAGTTCCTGCTTTCTTTAGAGTTACTGAACCCTCGTTACCAAACCCTCCAAGTTAATTTGATGTAAGTTTTGTGAGTGGACACTGGAGACTAAACAAACCACATGATACAAAATCATCAACTTTTTATGTTTTCTGATTCTCAAATCTCCAAAAAATTTCACATGTAAAGCTGTGTGATCAACTCGCTAGGTATATTACAGGGCCTGTAAAAATAGAAGGAGGGAGCTTTCTAAAAACTGAGAAAATAACCTCTGTTATCAGGCTATTTCAATTTGGGCCTGGTGACTACACACTGTTAACACAGAGTCTGAGTTACAAACTGTGGATGTGAAGCTTGAAAAATGTGGTATTTTATAAGGTATAAAGGGAAGTGGTAGAGTTTCATTTCCACTAAGTGTAGGACCCATGCAACATCATTTTTATTAATTCATCTCTTGTGAGTTCCCAAACTATACTAGATAGCTGAAATATCCCTTTAAGGGACATTAAAAAGGCAGTAAAAAAGTCCTACGTTCAAGAGATGGTGCTGTGTAAAATGTGGCAAGGTAAACTTCAAACACAGCAAGTAGAGAGAGATCGGAGCTGGAGAAAAATCTTAATCAAATGGATACTGTTTATTTAAGATTATGCAGGAATCAATGTTGAAACAAAGCCTGAAATATAAAAAAGAGAATAAGGAGGGAGGAACAGAGTGAATTTGGCAGCCCATTAGCAGTGAATGGTACTTTGTGCTGAGAGAGTGTAATAGTCATCAGCAGCAAATGCCAGTGGCAGCTCTTCAACCAGCTTTTTAAAACAGAGCTATGTCCCGCTGGATCGCACACGATGAATTAACTCAGGCACTTAAACCTGCATGTACACACAGATATGTCACCACTGATGTTCATTCAAACACAGCCTGCAAACACTGACAGATCCATCCACATAGAAAAACTAGAAATGTCTACACATGCTTTTACACAGATGAGCAATTCACGAAAGAAGCCTATTCAAACAGCAATATAATTAAGCACAAGTTGACACACAGACAGATTCACTGAGATTTAAAGTGGAAACATACAACAGGAGTCCCTGCCTTGCAGAACAGAGGGATCCCGCTACAGCTCAAGTGTTTAGAGAATTTAATTTCTTCTGCCTGTAAGGCAGAGGAAATGAAATGTACCTGAACACATCATCCAATTTAAAGACACAGAGTATTGGGCCCAGAAACCTGAATACAAAGATTGCGGAGACAGAGGTGATGTTTCATGGAGTGATGAACACACAGTGACACTATATGAGGGGACACACCATTCAGTAAACCCATAAAATCACAAAGACTGTTTCAGCTGGCTTTCTAATGTATATGGCTCTAGAATTGTTTTATTTAAAAAAAAATCCATGAATTTACCAGTAATTATTTTTGAAAATAAAAAAAAATATATTAAAGTCACTGCACTGTTACTTTCTCAGAGGGATTCTGGTGCTTACATTTTCTTCTCAATTTACTTTACTTTCTTCCTGCATCAGAAAACACAGTACCTTTTGGATGTTCTGGGAATTAAACTCTGTGGGAAAATCAATTTAAACTGCTTTTTAGATGAAGATTAGAAAAAAACGGAAACATTGAAGCATTAAGTTTACTAAGAGACTCAGTTGCACTAAAAAAGAAATATCTGCTGCAAGTCAGAGGTTGACAGCCAGATGTTTGTCTTTTAGTTTTAGAATAGCCCACTGCCCATCAGAGGATCCAGATGAATTACTCATCCACCCACTCTCTTATATTAACATTGAAATCAAGTCTGCAGATGAAATCAAACAACAGCTAGACACTATGCACTGTTTGTAATGCTCAGTGTGTGTGTTAGTCTGTGTCCTGCATTTCATGGTGAAGCTTTGCCAGCTCCTTGTTATCTGCCGACACACTATCTTTACAAGGGATTTGGCATAAGTACACATCTGCCTTTGTAACACACACACACAGAGGCAATCACAGCATAAATGTGCCCAATGCATGAATTATCCAAGTGACTTTCCCAGCTGCAGCAAACTAAATTATTCAGTTTCAAGTCACTGTTTTTTTTTCTTTCTGTGAAGTGAAAGCTTCTCTCCTGTCGATCCACAAGCCAGCTGTCAGATGTCCATCTGTCTCTGACTGCCTGTCATCCACCTGGCCCAAGCGGCCTGTCTATCATTCGTCTGGACTGGCTGACCGCCAAATGATGCACTGAGGAGACAGGAAAGGTGTACATTCATGAGAGAAGTGATTTGTTGTTGCTTTCTCACATTTGCTGAGATTGCAGTATGTTTCCTCTTTCACTCAAGAAAAAAAGAGAACACAAGTGAAAATGGGAAGAAGGATGCCATTCATGGCTGTTCTGGTACACAGCTGTCACAGAGTACATAAACAGTCATAGCGGGGGGGAAATCCTATAAGTGGACCAATGCACACGGACGCCACACACACAAGTATAGCATATCTAAGTGGATGCCACTGGTGCGCGAATATCCTATTGCATAAATTGAACAAAAACAGACTTGCTGATGCTTAGATATGACATGAGCACACACCCACACACAGTGTCTGTATTTCAAATCTGTTAGACAAAATTTACAGATGGGCTGCACTCAGCAGCAGTTCAGCTACCAAAAGGCAAACTCTGATCTTTTCTGGCACACACAAACACACACAGCCTGATTTTATGTGACACCAGTTTGCTGGGTCATGGCGAGGACACTGCTATTCTTGACCAGACTATCATCCCTAAAGTAGACATTACACAAAGATGACAGCCTAGAAGGGCTGTGTACACATGGGTAAACAAACAGCAACACAATGACAAAGCCATCACAAAACACATGACAGCAGAACCTTGACATTCTCAGCTCATGTGAAGGTCATAAGAAAGAGATGTGCTGGTAAAGAAAGCCCAGCAGGCAAGATGATATGTACTAAATACTGAAATTCTCAGTAAAGGTATTGTTTAAAAATGTTTGATTGTAATCTAAAAGTCATCAGTTTAAAAATCCAAAAATCAAGGTGCTTCATGAATTAAGAACTATTGGTGCTGTATCCAGTTTTTTATCAGTATTTTATTTTAGCCTAAATCATATAGAATACAGACACATAGCTTACATATCGTATATGACTTTTATGACATCAAGCAGCAACCTTGGAAGCTGAGAAATGAAGCCAGTGCAGAAGTGCCTCCAAAAGGAAGTCATTCGCCATAGACTTCTATGTTAAATTGCCTGACTTTACAGTACAATAAACTTGTTTTGCAGCCTGGTACAAAAAATGGTTTTGGTCTCTCTTACCAATTTCCCTTTCCATGACAACTGTACAGGGGGTAAACTATAGGCCTTCACAAATCTAACTGGTTCCCAGTAACTGAGACCCAACCTGGGATCCAAATAAGGATAGTGCCTAATTATATTTTCTCTTATCAGGTATGGGTAGGGTCCTATTGTAGTGCCTCAAATCTCTGATCTAATATCTGAGCTCTGATCATTTAGTGTAATACTTAAAAAGAAAGAAAAAAAGAAAACTGGAGGTGGATGGGTCTAATTATCTTACATCCATTTCAGACTGGGTTTAACTCCCCTTGGGTCCCTTTTGAACTGGTCTCTTTGTTGTGAAAATCAAATTCAACATGTCGGGTTTCAGGCCAATCTGTTTACAATCTTTGGTCCAAAACTTGGATCCATGAAGACCTGTAACTGTCAAGCACAGGAGTTTCTCTGTGTCACAGTACATGGCTAACCAGATTATTCAATTAACTGATTTGCTTTTTTTGTCAATGTCATTATTAAATGAATGCATCCAGTTCTAGATAAATTGGACTGGCATATCTCAAACTACCCACTGAATATTTAGCCTTTTGGATCAACAAAACAAAAATATTTAACTTGTGATTTGTTATTTTTGGACATTTTGCAGACCGACTATTTGATCATTAATTATAAAAAAAATCACTGATAGCATCATCAATAATGAAAATAATCATTAGGTGCAGTGTGAATCCAGATATTTGACCAAACAAAGTTGCACTGGAAGCAAATAACCTACTCATTACCAGACAGTGACTGGGTCCTCATGGGATCTTGAAGTCAGAGGGTGCATTTTGATCACTTCACTTTAATCCATTAGAACCATATCTGCGGTTGCTAGTTTGCAAATGAATGATTCTGTGTAAATCAAGTTCTATTTCGTATAGGCATAGCCCTCTAAGAGCTGTCGCTATTGGGTTTATCCCTCGCGCATGCGCAGTCCTGAAGAGATTTTTTCGCGCCCTGTGC